CCAACTGCTTTTCTAGAGGATGTCGATATATTGATCACGGCATTGTATTCCCTCTCGACAGTTATATTATGAACCTAAATAAGGTAAAAAAGAGTTTGTTTCTGTTTCCTGATGAGCAATTGAACCACCATTTTGTCGATTTTCTCAAACTATAAGTTTAACATTTCCTTTCAATTTAGAGATTAGTTCCCAAGGTGTTTTGTGTAGTCTATTTCATCATAATCTTTAGATAGCAAGGTGTCTTGTGTAGTCTGTTTCATAATAATCTCGAGACTAGTTACCCATGTTTTTTATTTAGTCTGTTTCATAATAATCTCGAGACAAGTTAACCATGTGTTTTATATAGTCTGTTTCATAATAATCTCGAGACAAGTTACCCGTGTGTTTTGTGTAGTCTTTTCATTATAATCTCGAGACTAGTTCCCCAGGCATTTTATGTAGTCTGTTTCATAATAATCTCGAGACTAGTTACCCATGTGGTCTCGAGATTATTATGAAACAGACTACATAAAAAAGTTACCCAGGGGTTTTATGTAGTCTTTTTCATTATAATCTCGAGACTAGTTCTCGAGGCATTTGATGTAGACTGTTTCATAATCTCGAAATTAGTTACTGAGGCGTTATGTGTGTAGTCTGTTTTATCATAGTTTTAGAGGTGACGTTAGGACTGTTATAAGATCGATAACCGACTGACCTTTTAATGTATATATGTATGTTATGTATACATGCACATCGACTGAAGAGGATTTTTCAAGTTTTTCTAGTCCTTATTACGTAAGAATAGGGGAAAACCATACAAGGGACAATAATACAAGTATTTCTTCCCGCCATGCTCATGTTTATGTTTTTTTTTTTCAGTGTAGGGTTTCTTTTAAAACACGAATAAACCAAATATTTTCTGTAATACACGATTTCGTTATCGCCTACACAGAACCATCACAGAAACGTATCGATCTTGGAAACAGGAAAATCGAGCAGTGCTCTTTTTGTTTATAAACACAGGAATCTTTTTTTTTTTAATTGAAAAGTAACTTTTTTATATTGCAATTAATTATATATATATATATAGTACGATGTTATGTTTAATGTTTAGAAGTTAAGTTCAGAATTGTTCCTGATTTACGTTTCTGTCAAAGAAATCCCCCCCCCCCGTGACTCAGCGGTAAGTCTTCAGGTTAACGACGCTCAAATTTGAGTTTTGATACCCGTAGTAGGCAGAGCACAGATAGCCCTTTGTTAGCGGAATATTTCTAAATATTATCATCAGAAAATATGTGATGTCACACCGGTTTACTAGACGTCATCGGAAAAATGAAATCAAATTACCATAATAAACACGTGAGATGGATTGAGAACTTGAGGGGAGAGCAAGTTTTGTAAGGGCCTTCAGAACTGAACTTCATAAACACGTAAAATACAGTTCAGTGCTATGTATTAACTACAATCTGAGCAAAACAGAAAAACAAGCGATGGGTAGATAATATACAAAATACTAATCGTAATATTTATAATAAACACAAAGGAATGAAAAATAATATTTTTTGTTAAGTGGCAAATATTCAAGTAAGAACAATCTGTAAGAACATGTAAATGAAAAATTAGTAACCAATAGGCACACGTGAAAGGACTAAAATAACTGTGGCCATAGTGACCCATTTGCAAATATATATGTTTTTCAAAGACATATCCAGTTTTTGTTTAATATTTTTATTTTTCTCTTAGTACAAAAGAAGAATGCAGTGATTATGAACATACATGTAGCCAGCAAGACAGAAAGGCAGTGATTATAAGTGTACACAGTACAAAAAGGCAGTGATTATACATGTACTCAGTACAAAAAGGCAGTGATTATAAGTGTACACTGTACAAAAAGCAGTGATTAGAAGTGTACACTGTACAAAAAGGCAGTGATTATAAGTGTAATCAGTACAAAAAGGCAGTGATTATAAGTGTACTCAGTACAAAAAGGCAGCGATTGTAAGTGTACTCAGTACAAAAAGGCAGCGATTGTAAGTGTACTCAGTACAAAAGGCAGCGATTGTAAGTGTACTCAGTACAAAAGG